CTGGCTGCATGCGACGTCCACTCCGCATCGGAGCCTCCCACACGACACCGGCCTGCTGCGCGAATACTAAGGACCCCTTGCGACTCTTTGGCACAGCAGGTGACTGCCCGGCTGTCCCAAGCCAAAACCTTGTCCTCCTAAGGTTATACTGGTTGGTTAGTTCCTGCCACCCCAGAGGCAGCTGCATTTCAGAGAGAACCGGAACGATATGTTTCTGGATCCTTCATTGGGGTCAATCAGCATGACTCCTGAAAGCTCTCCCCATCGACGGTAGCCGAGGGGCATCGGCACTGGACTTGGAGTGATCAGAACCACCAGAGTGTTGCATTAACATTGTCGTCTGCGTGGTGTTTATCTTTGCCTGCCAGAATCCTATCCTAGCCTCGCCTTCCTTCCTCCCTCCCGCCCTCCCCATCACGGTAGCACCCCAGTGCCCGAAAGCAAGTTAACAGCCAATCTAAACCCCGACTTTCCTCCTAGCAGGTGGGAGAGGCAAGGAACACACCGTTCCCCCCAGCCAATGCACCAGCTAGTAATGCAGGACCAAGGCGATGCAGGTATTCAGGTGCTGCTAGTACAAGCCAGGAGCAAATTATTACTTCCTTGGAACTGGGCAGGAAGGGAAGAGAGGTGATTCCTTCCCTAGAGCCACCCTGCCCTCCACGGCCGCTTTGCGTGACTTCGTAGCTTGCCGGACACGGATCTGCTCTTGGCTCTCCACAGCGCGTGACGGGTGGCCTCCGTCCCATGGCATCTGTTTCTGCGCTGGGGTTGGCCAGCTGGGAATGTGGCGCTTGGCCCCGCTCACTTCCTCGTGTCTCGCCATGAGTAACAGGCGCGTCAGCGGCCTCAGCAGCACAGTCTGGGTGTTAATCCCCCCTCGGGGATTCTGTCGAGGCTGACAAACGGCCGGCGCGCCACCCCCACACTTCACGGTGTCTCCAGAGAGCTCCCTGACAGAACGACAGCCCTGTAACATACAGCCGGCGGCAGGCCGCTCCGGGTGTAATCGATAGGTACCTGTTTCCAAGCCCTGCGCCTCCGCACAGAGGAACCCTGTTTCTGAGCATCGGGTCTGACGCTCCGGCTCCTGCCAGCCCGCTGCTGGGGATGTTTGGCCTGCCCAGCTCCGCTAGTGCCCCTCACTCTGAACCCCGCGCCGCTCCGCATAGCCCTGTCACTGCCACACCCTGCCCCGCCTTGCCGATGCCAATGCAGCCCCCCAGCGCCCCCAGTCCTGGGCTCCCCACACACGGCTCAGGAGAGATTTCTGCCCCCACCACGCTCCTTCTGCTGCCCGACGCCGGAGAGGTCTGTGCTGTGAGGCAGGGAGGTGATTTTTATCCCCCCTGCCCACGAGGAACCTGCTGCCACTCTCTCCTGGTTTGCTACCAGCCCCAGGCACGGGGACTATGGAGAACGCCTGCCCTCGTGGGGCCTCTCCCTCAGCCCAGACACCGCCTCCGCTTCCTGCCCTGCCTCCCTTTGCTCCCTCAAGGACAGGGCCTCCCATCTCCCAGGTAACCCCATTGCCCCAGGGTGTCCTGTTGGGGATCCCCTTGCCCCACTGTCCTGGGTCATGCCCCACCCACCGCGTCCCATCACCACCCCACGGCCAGCGTGCGGAGCAGCTCCAGGCCAGCCCTGACTCCCTGCCGCCCCTCGGATAAATCATCTTCATCAACATACAGCGAGAGGGAATTTCCCCCGGCCCTGCTGTCGGATTGATCCCTGCACACCCCTGTCCACACCCACGTCCACCCAGGGGGCGCTGTTGCTCGGGCAGAAGACGGCAGTCTATGGCTATGTCTACACTGGCGGGTTCTCGCGCCAGAAATATGCAAATGAGGCTAAGCATAGAATATCGCCGCCCCTCATTTGCATACCTAATGAGCCGCCATTTTGCGGAAGAGGCGCTTGCGCTAGAATGAGCTGTCTACACTGCCCCTTCTTGCTCAAGAAAAACCCTCTTGCGCAATGCCATTACGCTGATTATTTTCAGGAATAACGGCATTCTGCAAGAGGGTTTTTCTTCTGGCGCAAGAGCCTCTTCTGCAAAAATGGTGGCTTATTAGGTATGCAAATGAGGCTCGGCGATATTTCATGCTTTGCGCTTAGCCTCATTTGCATATTTCTGGCGCAAGAACCTGCCAGTGTAGACATAGCCTGAGTGCGTCTACACTGCACGTTCAGTCCTATGCTCAGATTCAGGTTTAAACCCAACCGCCCACCCCTTCTGTCCACACACAAACCAGCGTGCCTCAGGCTCGCAAGCACTCAGGACCGAGACCTAGGACTCTGCAAGGAGGGGCTGGCCCCCAACCCAAGTCCCACTGGGTATGTCTACAGTGCCACCCTCGTTCGAACTAGTCTTGGTCCAAGCCTTGTCCTTTTGCAGTGTGGATGCGGGGCGAGCAGCACATTTGAATCAGAAGGTCTGGACAGAGCCGTGCAGGCCCATCAGCCTGGCTGAGAGACCCGGAGCCAGCGGTTGTAAACCCAGGCGTGCTGCAGTGCAGGTCTGGAAACGCCGAATCCACAAGCCGGGGTCCCTCCGACCCGGTTTACCATGCAGTGCAGACACGTCGCAGGCGGCTAATTTTGCTCCCTTCGCCACCAGTGTAAACCCTGAGAAAAATGGCAGCTGGAAACGGCAGCAGATTTGCTGAGTGGCTGGAGGTGTCACACCTGGGCACCGAACCGACCGTCTCTGGGGCCAGGCCTTTGAGCTGCAACAGACCCAGCCTGTAACATAGCGACAAGCGTGTATTTGGCAGGCAAACCCTTCAGAGCACTCTGTGCAACACGGACCTAGCAGGTTGAGAGAGCGAGCTCGATTCACCCAGAGTATTACTGTAAGGCCTGCACCTCAAGGCAGGAGAACCTGTCTCTTGTCAGCCCCTTGGCAATCCCCGAAACGCACGTGTGATCGCTAATCCCAGCTCCTTCCTCCTAGTTTCCTCTGTCCCATCCCACAGCGCGACAGGTCTGCAGCAGCTGGGGCAGTGATGTGTTTCCTTGTGACAGAGTCTCATACCCAGGGGAGCAATACAAATCTTGGGGCTGGTAGCAGTGCCTCATTTTTAGCCGGGAAGCACGTTGTTTTAGGGTGTCTAGCCACCTCCCCAGTGACAGTAATTTATGGGGTGAGAGCTTGGCTTGGCTGGGCCAGGAGATTTGCAGCATTTACATGGGATTACTTCTAGGAGGAGGTTTATAAATTGCGGTGAGAAATCCCTGGAATCTAGTGCTCTCCAGGGAGACTGCTCCGGGAGCGTATTTCACCTCGCCGCACACTGGCGTGCAAATGGCTAAACAGAAAGCGCCCGGCCTGCTGAGACTAACTCGCCCGGAATCCCACAAATTGGAACGTGATAAGTTGTGAAGTGTCTGGAAATTGTAACGCCCCGAGCCCGGGTTTCACCCCAAGAGACCGTCCATGCTGGGCGGGCAGCTGTGACCATTGCTTTTTTCACCTCCCGCCAGATTTAACGCTGCTTGTGGGGCACGATGGGCCCCAAAGATCCAAATAACTAACCATTTGATCAGACACAATGCCAGGGAGCAGCTTGCTCACACCGGCCTCGCCATTGCATCCGACCGGGTTACTCATAGGAGTAACTGCATGTTAGAGTGGGGGATATGAGAGGAGACTGAGGGGGGATATGACAGAGGTCTATAAAATCAGGAGTGTTGTCGCGAGGGCGGATAAAGAAAAGTTATTCGTTAGTTCCCATAATAGAAGAACTAGAGGACACCAAATGAAATTAATGGGGAGCAGGTTTAGAACTAATTAAAGAAAGTTCTTCTTCACACAGCGTGTAGTCAACCTGTGGAACTCCTTGCCAGAGGAGTCTGTAAAGGCTAGGACTATAACAGAGTTCAAAGAGAAGCTAGATAATTTCATGGAAGTTAGGTCCATAAAAGGCTATTAGCCAGGGGATAGAAAGAGGCTGGAGAAGGATGGCAGGAGACAAATCGCTTGATCATTGTCTTCAGTCCACCCTCTTTGGGGCACCTGGTGCTGGCCACTGTTGGCAGACAAGCTACTGGGCTAGATGGACTTTGGTCTGACCCAGTACGGCCATTCTTATGGGTGAGACATTCACAGGTTGGGCCAATGCCTTTTCACGGGCTAGGTCCTCACTACAGGTGCACTTACATTTCACCCATGTGCTGCAGCTCGTGTAGATAAACTTGATCTAGCTTTCATGTAGCTAAGGAGGTTACCAGCAGGGACACAGGCATCACTGCAAACCGTATACGCCAGCCCCAAGCCCTGGCTAATTACTCACACAGCTGCCTGGTGAGCCCTATCCACTGGGGGATACATAGGACCACAAAGGAGAAAACAGGAGTCGGAGTGAGCTCAAAGGTTAAGAATCCGGGAGAGAGGGACCACAGAGGGGCGGACGTTGCCTGAGGACAGGTTTCTTGGCCAGCATCAGGAGAAGGTCCCGGGACTTGGAGAGAGGCGTGTGTGATGGGTTAAAATCACAGAAGTCCCTTTGGGGTTGTCCCCCAGGGTGCTGATCATGCCACTGACACCTGCCTTCCTGCCCTCTGGGGCTCCCCGCCACCCTGTCCTGCTGGGCCAGATCTTCTGGTCTCCCCCAGACAAGGCACAGAGTTGCGGTTACCGCCCGCCTGTAGAGCAACACAAACACTGAACCAGTTCAGATCTGGGACGACTCTGTTCAAAGAGCTCGGCCCCCAGGAACACAAACCCCAAATAAACGCGTCCTACCCTATGTAAAAGTTTTGCACAGAGAAAGCTTATAAGGTCTACCCGCTTTACCAAAGAAAGAGAGAGATGCACAGTGGCTGTCTCTCCCCTCCCCTCGCCCGTATCAATTATTTACTCTGGGCTTAATAATAAATGTAAGTGTTTGTATTAAGTATAAACAGCAGAACTGAAGTGGTTGCAAGTGAAAACAGTCAGATCGAAGTAAGTTACTAATTTAAAACGAACAAAAACCGCATAGTTAGTTGTACGTTCAGAAACTTGTTACATGCAAATTCTGGTCTAAACAGATGTTCTTATCTCAGCTCAAAAACTTAGGAGTCAAAGTTGATCTCTTCTCTGACCCTGGATCTACAGCTTCTTCAGAGTTCTGTGTAATGGGCTTAGGGTGGGCCAGGCAGTTTTAAAGGCCAGCTGAAGACATAGGACGGGTGGCTTCTCATTGCTTCAATAGACTTTCCCACAGGGCGGGTACCCCTTGTTCAGCACTCCCCTGTCCATGGAAAAATACCAGGTTCAAGATTCCAGTCCCAGGTGGCATGGTCCCAGGTCTTTCTCGGATCAAGTGCAGGACAAATGCGGCTATTTACAAGCGGTTGGTTTGAATACCGAATCGTTAAGCACCGGAGGGATCACTAATGGCCCTCATTAACACCTCTGGCCCTAGAAACATAGCCACGCTTCGTATTTCTAACTGCACGATCGAGAGTGATACATGCACAGAAATAGGATCTAACTATTCAGCAGACGGTAACTGTAAAATTGCCATGTCGCATGGCCTGTTTCACATAAAGCATCTTTGAGTTACGCAGCTTCCCAAGTGCCTGATTCTCCCCAGAGCGTTTACAAGGGCTTGTGCCTTAGGAGCTGGACTAATCCCCACGGGGCTGGACTAGCCGACCTGACAGGCCCGGCCCATCCCCACGTTCTAGGAAGCTGGCGTCTCTTCTGCTTCGGTTCCTGTCTTTCTATCTGCTTCAGGGGAGGCTTTTCCTCCTGCCCTATGGCGATTCCCACCTCTGTCCCGGCCCTTCTTTCCTCTGTCTTCTTCTGAGGTGACCTGGCCTCCCTTGCTCCTCCGCAAATGCTGCCCCCCTGTGCCTGCTCCCCTGAGTTCCTAGCACAGGTCACTCCGAGCTTAGCTGCACTCCGCTACCAAGAGCGTCTTTCAAAGCCAGTCTCCCCGGGGTATGTCTACGCTGCATGGCGACCCAGGTCTGTGACCTCCCTGACTTGTGGCCAGAGTCGGGACGACTGCCCTGAGCCCTGTGCTTTGGGGGCCCGCATGGTGACAAATCGTGAGGAAGGGGGCGGGGAGAGGAGGTTGGTGAGCGGGATGGGGAAGGAGCAGAAGTTGGGTGGAGAGCCAGGAGGGTAGGCGCACGGCAAAGAAGAGAGCAACCGGCAAGCAGATAGAGGGTGCCGGTGAGCAACCGGCAGGCGGATGGAGGGTGCCGGTGAGCAACCGGCAGGCGGATGGAGGGTGCCGGTGAGCAACCGGCAGGCGGATGGAGGGTGCCGGTGAGCAACCGGCAGGCGGATGGAGGGTGCCGGTGAGCAACCGGCAGGCGGATGGAGGGTGCCGGTGAGCAACCGGCAGGCGGATGGAGGGTGCCGGTGAGCAACCGGCAGGCGGATGGAGGGTGCCGGTGAGCAACCGGCAGGCGGATGGAGGGTGCCGGTGAGCAACCGGCACAGCTCTAGGGTTGGCCTTACTTGTGTGGCTTTGATATTTCCCAGCCTGCACTGGAGCTCCATGCTTCACTGGAAACCTGGATTCAGAGTTACCGGTCCCAGGTCTCTGATCCAGGGGGCCGTGCCCACACGGTACTGGGCAGACTTGGCTTGGGTCTGCGTCCACGCTGCCAAATGACAGGCCTAGCACCCCGATCTCAGAGCTCTAGGGTTGGCCTTACTTGTGTGGCTTTGATATTTCCCAGCCTGCACTGGAGCTCCATGCTTCACTGGAAACCTGGATTCAGAGTTACCGGTCCCAGGTCTCTGATCCAGGGGGCCGTGCCCACACGGTACTGGGCAGACTTGGCTTGGGTCTGCGTCCACGCTGCCAAATGACAGGCCTAGCACCCCGATCTCAGCTGGGACTCAGGCTCTGACCCACACACCCTGCCCTGCGTGCACGAGGGGCTCCTGAACACTGGGGAGGAGAGAACGGCTGGGGGGGGCGGTGCGGGGGAGAGAGGTGCAGGAAGGCAGCTGCTGCTGATCAGAGCTGGAAGCAGAGCAGGGAGCCAGGAGGCTCCGTGGGGCCGGTTCCTCCCGTTCGGCTCAGGTCCGGATTCGCAGCCTGTCGCTGGGGGAAGCAGGCTAACTCCGCCAGGCATTGGTGCAAATCCACACAGGGCGCCGGTGCTGCAGGGTCAGTTCAAACAGGGCAGCAGACCTCAGGGGGCTGCGGATCCAGCCCACCGGCCGGAAGAAACATTCAGCTCAGTCATTTTCTTGCATTCAGTGTAACCTTCCCATGCCCGGGCAGCTGGGGGCCAGGATCCGCTGGAACTGACCACCAGGAACCAAGTCCTTGCAATATCATCCCCCTCCACACACCTTCTCCTAGGGGCGGCAGCAGTGTCGCAGTGCCCCCTGGTGGCGGCATGGCAGAACTGCCGTTGTTAATCCGAATTGGCCTGGAGATCTTGTCTACACTGGCCTTGTGCAGCGTGAACGACGTGGTGCAGTTAAAGTGGTGCGGCCCCGCCGAGTGTGGATGCACTTGTACGCAGGCACAGGAGTGCCCCTTGGGATAGCTTATTGCTATACGGGGAAGAGAAATAAACCAGACCGATAGAAGGCACCTTTCTAGAAGGACTGTAGATGGTTCTTCGTTCATTGGCCTAATGAGGTAAAGTTGAGCAGCGGGGATGAGCCAGTGGTGAAATAAGACACCTGGCCACAGGTATAACTGTATTCACCTCAGGGGCTGTGCTAGCACAGCTCTAGGGATGAGCCAGTCACAGCCCTATACACCAGAACATGCATGACATGCAGACCCAACTCAGCTGAGTGCCTCTTCATGGACGTCAACAGAGAGGCACCAGAAGGGCTGAATTTTGGCCACAGACCCACTGACGTCAGAGACAGAGCTGTAGCCACCGGCTGTCTCATGTCCTACAAGCTCTGTGAGGCAGGGAGTGGCTTTTCATGACATGTGTATGTAGCACAGCACCCCCCAAAACATACACACATGTGGCTACGTCTAGACTGGCATGATTTTCCGCAAATGCTTTTAACGGAAAAGTTTTCCATTAAAAGCATTTGTGGAAAAGAGCGTCTAGATTGGCACGGACGCTTTTCCACAAAAAAAGCCCCGATCGCCATTTTTGCGATTGGGGCTTTTCTGCGCAAAACAAATCTGAGCTGTCTACACTGGCCCTGTTGTGCAAAAGCTTTGCGCCAAAGGACTTTTGCCCGAACGGGAGCAGCATAGTATTTCCGCAAGAAGCACTGATTTCAGACAGTAGGAAGTCAGTGCTCTTGCGGAAATTCAAGCGGACAGTGTAGACAGCTGGCAAGTTTTTCCGCAAAAGCAGCTGCTTTTGCGGAAAAACTTGCCAGCTGTCTACACTGTCCGCTTGAATTAAAGAAAAACACAGTGCTCCCGACTGAAAAGGCCTAAAAATCCACCCAGTCGTTCTGCCCGGGGCTAATGCAGGATGTTCTGACAGGATACGCTCCACTGGGTTTGTCCCACCTCATTTTACAACTCCAGAGCCATGGAGGCCCCACACCACCCTTGGGAGACAAGTCAACAGGCTACGCCTTACCCCCATGGCTGTCTGTTAGCCTGAGATAGAATTTGGGGCATGATTTTTGACACTCTGACCCCCTCAAAACCACCGGGTCTTGCTTCTGCACAGCCAGCCAGCTTTGCTGGTGTAATAGATAAGGAACTGAGGTAACGTGTTACTGGCTTTGGTGGGAGCGTGCCCTGCAGGTATACTTGGGCCTGCTGTGGGGGTGCAGGGACAGGGATACGGGTGACGGGAAAGCTGCTTTCCTGTCTTCTGCTTTCTGTCTGCCGGACAAGAACCAGGGAAAGGGTGACAGGAAAGCCCTTAACCCAGTGTTTCTTAAACTGTGTTTCAGGGCACAACGGTGAGCCGCGAGGTGGTCGGAGGTGTGCCGCGGAGAACAACCGAGTTCAAAATGGCCATCCTTAAAGAGACAGGCAACTTCCTCCCCCCCCCCCCCCACAAAATATTTTCCCCCTGCCCCTTTTTTTTTTTTTTTTTTTTTTTTTTCTCTCTCTCAACGAAAAGTCCTTCGTGTTCCTCATGAAAAAAAAAATTGTTTAGTGCTCCTCCATCTTAAACAGTTTAAGAAACACTGCCCTAACCAATGCCAGGAAGATGGAGCTACATAACTGGCAGAAGTTGACTCAATGAGGGAAAGGCGGGGCGGGAAAGACGTGCTGCATAGAAGATCAAACAAGGGTGTGAGAAAGGCATGGATCAAACTGCCTGGACTTAAAGGGCCAGGACAACGTGTCAGCAGGTGAGACCTGTGCCATGTATTGCGCAGGAAGAAGACCCATAGAAGCCAAGAGCACTAAAAAGTTTTACTGAAAACTGAAAAAGTCGGGGGGAAGGTGAGGGGGAAGAGGCTGGGGGGCAGCAGGTTTTGAAAACTGAAATGTTCACACTGAAATCAAAACACTTCCCCTCGGATGTTTTTTTCCGTGAAAAAAAATTGTTACTGGATGTTTAGATTCTGGAGTCTGGGAATCACTGGGCGTCTGGGTCTCCTTTGAGGATGAATGCTGGGTAGTTCACCTGCCCCCTGTGGGGAGGGGGGGAGGGGTCGGTGCTAACACTGTGAAAGCTGGTGTGGCATTTGCTCTGATAACGGTTTTGTCCCGGGCCTTACCACGCACACCAGCCGTGTGCTGTCAGAGTCAGCCCTGAGCTTTCCGATGGAGGTGGCTGGCTTGGGTAGGGGGATGATAAATCGACAAAAGCAGGGCTCTCCAGACAAGAGCTCTCCCGAAGGCTTCGCGGCATTGCTGAGACGTCGGAGTGGTTTGGGAGTGTTCCAGGCTCCATCAGGAAGCCTCATGCTAGGATAATGGAGCCTTCAATCCAAAGCGTCCAGATTAGGGAAATCAAAGCAGTGTGTGTGAAAGCATTTGGAGAACACGGTGGCAATCAACTGAACATGGCTTCCCCGCACGAAAAAGAGCTAATGCAATCCTGGCAGTAGGGACAAGCAGCAGGCAGGTTTAATCTCTAATGCATTGGTGAGACAGCTCCTGGAATGCTGCCTCCAGTTCTGGTGTCTGCATTTGAAGCAGGGTTATGAAAAATTATAGAGGGTGCCCTGCAGAGCCACAAAAACGATTCGAGGGCAAGACAAAATGCCTTGCAGGAACTCCCAGTAAGGAGAGCCCCATTTAGCTGATCCGCATGAAGATGGAGAGGTCAGTTGCATGATGTCAAGTCCCTGCACCAGGGAGAAAATGCCAAGAACTTCCTGGCTCCACGTGACTCTAAGCGAGATAGGCAGAGCAAGAACATGCAGCTGCAATTCTGATGAGCAATAAGGCACAAGTGTCTAAAGGCAGGGGGATTAACCATGGGAATGAACTCCCCACGAACGGGGTGGCATCTCCGTCTCTTGACATCTCTGAATCCAGCCTGACTGGCAATGCTTTAGCCAAAGTGCAAGTTATTCGGTTCAGGAAAGGGGGATGTTGGTGACAGTCTCTGACCTGTGCTACACAGGTGGTCAGACTAGATCAGGGTTTCCCAAAGCGAAGCACATACAACTGCAGACAAATTCATCAAGCGTGGTGTGGCTGCTCGAAGGGCACTCCAGTAAAACGGTGGAAGCAGTGCCGGGGGTGAGTTCATTTCTTTGAAATTTGATTTTCAGTCGCTCCATCAACCACCCGTTCCAGAGCAGCCCCACTGGCCCACAGCTTCCAGGCCACGTTTGGGTTCAGGGGAACCGGCCTTCGTGGGGAGGGTGAACAGGATAGCGACTCTCTGCGAATGAATGGTTGAGGCAGTGCTCATGTACTCTCCACACTGCAACCGGGTGCGTGCCTCCCACCATGGATGGCCAGACTCGTGCAAGCAGGCCTCGCACTAGTGCACAAAGAGTAGCAGTGTGGCTGTTGCAACACAGTTGGTGGCTCAGGTTGGGCCCCACGTGCAACATCCACACTGCTATGAGGCTGCCTACTGGGCTAGGAGGCACCGGACTGGG